TTCCAAAAGGGTTGGACCAGCCGGCATTCCCACCAGCAGTGAAGGAGGGTCCCTTTCTCGCCACATCCGCGCCAGCACCGGTTGCTTTTGTTCTTGTGGATGTGGGCCAGTCTCTGTGGTGTGAAATGATATCTCATTGTGGTTTTGATCTGCATCTCTCTGATGATTAGTGATGTAGAGCATTTTCTCATGTGCCTTTTTGCCATTCGAATTTCTTCTTTGCGAAAGTTTCTGTTCATTTCCTCACCCCATTTTTTGATGGGGTTGGGTGATTTCTTCTTGTGGAGTTTAACCAGTACCTTGTATATCCTTGATATCAACCCCTTGTCGGATGTGTACTTGGTGAATATCCTTTCCCATTCTGTAGGCTGTCTTTGTATTTTGGTCACTGTTTCTTTTGAGGTGCAGAAGCTTCTTAGTTTAAGATAGTCCCATTTGTCTATCTCTGTTTTCACTTGCTCGGCCAGTGGCGTGACATCTTTGAAGATACCATTAGCTTCAATATCATGGAGAGTTTTGCCGACTTTGTCTTCAATAAACATTATGGATTCTGGTCTGATGTTGAGGTCATAAATCCATTTTGATCTTACTTTTGTGCATGGTGTTAGGCAGAGATCTGAGCCCACTTTTTTGCATGTAGCCATCCAATTTTGCCAGCACAGTTTGTTGAAGAGGCTTTCCCTGCTCCATTTCACTTTTCTTGCCCCCTTATCAAAAATTAGATGATTATATGTTTGGGAGGAAATGTCAGTATATTCAACTCTGTTCCATTGGTCTGCAGCTCTGCTTTTGTTCCAGTACCATGCTGTTTTAATTATTACTGCCTTGTAGTAGAGTTTGAAGTTAGGGAGGTTGATTCCTCCCATTTTCTTTTTCCCAAGAATTGCTTTAGCTATTCGTGGGGGCTTATTGTTCCATATAAATTTCAGGAGTGTTTGCTCCATTTCTTTGAAGAATGTCATGGGTATCCTTATAGGGATTGCATTGAATTTGTACAGTGCTTTGGGAACTACTTTAAAAAATTTTTAAAAATTAAAAAGAAATATACTCTGAAAGTTCTATGAATGGCTTTGGCTAGAATCCTGAGCTCACAGCTCCAAGTCTGTCTTTTCTATCCTAAATTTAAAATCAGTGATTTGGAAATAAAAGATAATAATCATTATTTCCACCTTAGCTTCTGGTACCACCCTCTGGACACTAACATTTTTTTTTCATCACAGTAAAAACTTCTCATGTGCTATCTTATATATTCCTCCTTAAATAAACACTTCAATTCCATCTCACAGATGAAAGGACTAACCTTTTAAACGGCTCTGTATTCTCATGTACATAAAAGGTCTTACAACTGCTGAGGAACACAGCAAGGATGAGACTTTTTTCCAGACTCAAAGTCCTCCTCCACGTGCAAGTTAGGTACTCCAGCGTGCAGAGCACACAGAAGTGTGAGTGACACACTCAGTTATCACGACATACTCAGAGCTATGGAGACATGTCCCACTGTTTTGAATCAGAATTGAAAATCTAGATAGAGAAATGGGACTATCTTAAACTAAGAAGCTTCTGCACCTCAAAAGAAAGAGTGACCAAAATATAAGGACAGTCTTCAGAATGGGAAAGGATATTCGCCAAATACACATCTGACAAGGGGTTGATATCAAGGAAATACAAAGTACTGGTTGAACTCCACAAGAAGAAAACATCCAACCCCATCCAAAAATGGGGTGATGAAATGAACAGAAACTTTCTCAAAGAAGAAATCCGAATGGTAAAAAGGCACATGAGAAAATGCTCTACATTATTAATCATCAGGGAGATGTAAATCAAAACAACAATGAGATATCATCTCACACCACAGAGACTGGCCCACATCCAAAATAACAAAAACAACGAGTGCTGGATGTGGCGAGAAAGGGACCCTCATTCACTGCTGGTGGGAATGCCAACTGGTTCAGCCCTTTTGGAAAACATTATGGATGATTCTTAAAAAATTAGAAATTGAGCTCCCATTTGACCCAGCAATACCACTCCTGGGAATATATCCCAGAGAGGCAAAAAATGTATAGTCGAAGTGACATCTGCACTTGTTTGTTCATTGCAGCACTCTTTACAGTAGCCAGAATCTGGAAAAAACCGAAGTGCCCGAGAACAGATGACTGGTTAAAGAAACTTTGGTACATCTACACAATGGAGTACTATGTAGCTGTTAGAAAAGATGAAGTCATGAAATTTACATACAAGTGTTACCACATGCTAAGCGAAATGAGTCAGAAAGAAAGGAACAGACATAGATTGCATTCATCTGGGGAACATAAATTAACAAAATAGGAGACTAACACCCAAGAATAGCCAAGATAAGTACCAGGAGATTTACTCCATGGCTTGGGGACCAGCCACACATGCTAGGGGTAAAGGCAGCTCAGATAGAGAAGGGAGCACCAAATAAAGGGTGTTGGGAGGATCCTCCCAGGATGGGAGGAGCATACTGAAAGTAGACTATAGACCGAACATGAGTGTCACTCAATGCCTCTTTTGCAAACCACAGGACCCAAAAGGAGAGAGATAACAAAAGGGAATGCCCTGCCACAGAGGCAGGGTGGGACAAGGGGGATGGAGGGTGGGAGGAATACTGGGATCCATGGTGGTGGAAAATGGGCACTAGTGGAGGGATGGGTACTCGATCATTGTATAATTGAAACCCAAGCACAAAAATTTGTAAGTCTACAACTGTACCTCATGGCGTTTCACTAATAAAAATTTCCAAAAAAAAAATTGAAAATCTGTTTAACTAACAGATGCCACAAGGACACAAATTAAAGAGTAGATTTATTCTGCAGCGACTGAGAAAGAAAGCTTCAGCTGCTGTCAGATGCTCCAGGGACTTTTGATTTCCTACCGAATTCTGTTACTTTTAAGGCAGCCAAGTTTCCTATACTCAATATCACATGGTGCACCCCGAGCATCAAGTAAGACGAGTGGCCGCTGATGAACTCTGGGCAACACTGGCCCACACCACTAGCCTACAGGTTGTCAGGAGCAGCCCAGGTCTCTAGGCATTGCTGGGTTTGGTCCCAATATTTTTTTTAAGTTTAACAAAAAGCGTGCATATATTTCAAGAATGTTCTAAAAGGGTGGAGGTTACTATATGACGTCAGAATCCTTCAACTTTGTTTCAGGAAACAGTTATAGCTAATATTGATATGATCACACCTTTTTCATTAATTGGGAACTTTATTTTCTTGTGCATCCCATTCACCTCTGGCTTTGTCTTTTCTTCAATATGAAGTCCTTCTGGAATACTTTACCTATATAATCATATGTGTACATGAGAAGAACTCATTTCACTGTTATCTATGATTTAATAAAAGAAAACCTGCTGAATGGCTTTCTTGGGACATGACTAAATAAATAAACGGATTATAATATTGAAATAAAGCAAATGAGGCAGGAGAATTGGCTCAAAGGGCTGAAGCATGTGCTTTAATGTGAAGCCCTGCATTGGATCCCTGGCATCACATGTTCCTTTGTGCACCACCAGGAGTGATTCCCAAGCACTGTCAGGGAACAGCTCCCCTAGGCCACACCATGTTAGCCCCTCCAGAGAAGAGAGGAAGTCAATGGCCTTACTGGTAAAAAGAAGTATGTACAATATATATAAAATAAAAGTTTCAAAACAAACATTGAAGACTATTTACAAGTATGTAGTATTACTGAATATCAAAAATTATAGACAATCTAAGAGCCAATACAGAATAGGCTCAAAAAAACTTTCTAGAGAAATCAATAGAGGGAAATACTCATCTTGAAAATGCTGGTTTATGAATAATTTTCCTTAATTAGCATATATCAAGGGGATTACTGGCTATTTTTTAGGTAAAAGTGGGCTAATAGAGTCTACTTTTCATACAAATTAAAGTTCCTATTACCAGATATTTTATTTATCATCATACAAGTACATTTAAAGTAAGGCATCATAAACTTCCATTCACAACACTTTTTTTGTCCAAGAAATTTCTACATGACCACGGTATCTAGAGAAATAAAAGTCTAAGGAGAAAAATAGCACAGCGGGTAGGGCATTCGCCTTACAAGTGGCCAACATGGCCGACCCGAGTTCGATTCCTCCGCCCCTCTCGAAAAGCCCGGCAAGCTACCGAGAGTATTCGATATGCCAGACACAGTAACAACAAAGTCTCCAATGGAGACATTACTGGGCCCGCTCGAGCAAATACAAACAATGCCATAAACTACCTAATGCAGGGTCCAGGGTCTTGCACACTGCCCATCTGGGTTTGATCCCCTGCACCCCATATGATACCCTGAGCTTTCCTGGAGGGGCTCCTGAGAAAAGAGGCAGGAGTCATCCCTGAGCACCCCAGGGTGTGGCCCCCAAACAAAACAAAACAAAAAACCCTGTTTCATGTATTAAAAAGACAATTGACAATTTTTAAAAGGCAGTTACTTTAGAATTTATGGGAACCAATGTGCTGACCAGGAAAACTGATCACATAAAGTAGGGAAAATAGTTGTCACAAGGAAATACTGTGTCACAGGTGATGTAAATGAAATAATGTGTTATTTATTTTTAAAAATAGCTCATATTTAAACAGCAACCAAGTAGAGAAATAACTGATCCTTTAAATCTGTATTTATATAAGCAAATCATGCATCAGAATACCTTTCCTTTAGGCAATTCAAACAATTTTCATATGATTAAAAAGGCAGAATGCGACCTTTACAATAATGGCACAGAAATGTCCCATGACAGCAGAAGCAAAATAGATCACCTTAATCACTCAGTTCATGACATTATTTCAATATATCTTTCATCAGATACCCATTCATCTCATTCGATGCCAGTTTAAAACTTAACTCTCAAAAGAGGAATTATAAAATGCAATTCAACACACATTCACATGTTTCAACCAAAACTTGACACGTTTTACTAAAGTTTCTTACACATATCATACATGCATCAGCTCATAGTTTTGTCAATACTGTACCTGGTTATTTCTTCTTTAAGCTTACACGGATCTTCAGCATAAAATTTAATACCAAAGTACAAAGTATATGGAGGTCCAGCTAAAATAAAAATCAAATTTCATATTACAAATCAGTCAAAATAGGAGTGTACATGATTAATAGACATTATTCTCATCAAACATTTAAAAATAATCTAACATATAAGAAATTAACATCCAAATATGAGGAATTCATACAACAATAGAGATTCAAATAACTGAAAAGTGGTAAGAGAATCTAAATGGAAATTTTTCTAAAGAAGACCACAAAATGTCCAACAGACATAAGAAAAAGTACACAATGTCACTATCAGGGAAATGCAAATCAAAATCACAATGAGATACCATAGTACTGTTATATAAATGTCTATAAACAAAAGGTAAACGAGAACAAATCAAGGATGTAGAGGAAAGGGTAGGATGTAACTTGGCACCTCCATTGTAGGAAATAATATGGATTTTCATTAAAAAATTAATAATAGAACTACTGTATGATTCAGCAATCCTATGATTCAGCAATCCTATTATTAGATATTTATCCAAAAGATATGGAGTCAGAATCTCAAAGAGATATCTGCATGTCCATGTTCACTGCAGCATTATCTATAAAACCAAGATGAGAAACATCTTACATGTCGATTGATAGATGAGTGAATAAAGAAAATATGATGTACATATACAAAAGAAATTATTCAGGATCTTTACAGCACCCAGCCGCAGAGAAGAAAGGCTGCGCGGGGGGCTCCATAGCTCCCGGAGAATGCACCAGGTCCCAAAAAGAGCCGAGATCATCGGGAAGTTCCAGATGGGGTAGGTGCCGCATCCCGCCTCCTCCAGATGGAACCCCGGTGACCAGAAGCCTCTACAAGCATAGCTTGGGTATGCGGGAACCAGGACTTTTCCTCCAAACTGCCGGGACCTTCCCGGATCCCAGGTAACCTCTGATTCTGGAAGTCATGCTCACAACCCGCCCCCCAGTGCCATCTTTACAGCACACAGCCACAGAGAAGAAAGGCCGCGGGGGGGGGGGGGGGGTCCACAGCTCCCGGAGAATGCACCAGATCCCAAAAAGAGCCGAGATCACCGGGAAGTCCCAGATGGGGTAGGTGCCGCATCCCGCCTCCTCCAGATGGAACCCCCGTGACCAGAAGCCTCTACAAGCATAGCTCGAGTGTGCGGGAACCAGGACTTTTACTCCAAACCGCGCGGCCACTTACGCGGCCACGCGACATATCCGTATATACAAAGTGATCAATGGAAAGTAAATCATCCAACGTTTGTCCCTGAAAATCAGGCTTAACTCTTATAAAAACCACAACACCCAATAGGAGAGAGAGAACAAAAGTGAATGCCCTGCCACAGAGACAGGGTGGGTGGGTGGGGTGGGGAGGGGAGGGATACTGGGATCCGTGGTGGTGGGAAATGGTCACTGGTGGAGGGATGGGTATTCAAAATAAGTAAGCTAATTTTAAAAAATTTTAAAAATATTATTCAGGCATAAAAGAGAAAAAGGTACTACTATTCACAACATCTAGAAGGTATTATATGTTGGCTGAAATGTTCCAGGTATAAGAAAGATAATACTACCCTTATGACTGAATTCCTTTACATGTAAAATCAAAGTCAGTCACATTCATCGAGCATAGTGGCAGCTGTCAGAGGTTAATGTAAGAGGAAATAGAGCTGCTCAGAGGGTACAAAGTTTCACGTCAGCAAGTGAGTGACCTCTGGGACCTAAACTACAGTGTTGTGAGAACAGTTAACAAAATGAGTGTATACATCAAATTTTCCAAGAACCTCAATCTTCAATCTTCTGAGCACACACACAAAGATCACTATGTTGAGGTGACAAACAGATTGATAGGGCAGTCTTTTCCTACTGTATACACATATCAAGACATCAAAATGAATACCTTGAACATAGAATTCCACCTGTCAAAGCTAGTTCAGAAAAGTTTTAAAATTACACTCATTAATAATCGGTCAGGCTAGAGCAATAGCACAGCAGGTAGGACGTTTGCCTTGCATGTGGCTAACTGGCCAACTGGAGTTCGATTTCTCTGCCTTCGATTCCTCCACCCCTCTTGGAGAGCCTGGCAAGCTACCGAGAGTATCTCGCCCGCATGGCAAAGGCAGGCAAGCCACTGTGATGTATTCGATATGTCAAACACAGTAGCAAGTCTCACAATGTTACTGGGCCCACTCGAGCAAATCGATGAACAATGGGAGGACAGTGACAGTGACAATAATCGGTATGGGCTTGTCCAAATATACAAGAACACTCCAGACTTACCATTAGTGAGATTATGCACATTTATTTATGTACAATGCCTCCATTTCTTATATATTTTTAAGCATACATAGTTTTTATATAATGAAAAGAGACTATTTACAAAGTAGGTTTAAAGGCCATTCCCCATCATTGCTGAAAAAGTGTGCATGAGGGTGGTGTGGAGAAACTTTATTTACTAAAAGCTGGAAACAAATACTGAGCATCAGGTAAACCACTGAAGTCAAACACAACAGACATATCTGGTACCATGTATCTATGTAATCGGGCAGTGATGGGGGGGTGTGGTCTAATCAATACGTGATGAACATAGATCACCGACCTAGATTCCCAAAGGAGAAATCCCCCTATAAGAAAACATAAATTTATAACTGGAAACCCTGGGGAAGGAAGAGAGACTAGGAGCTGTTTTATTTTTTTAGTTTTATTCAGGTATTACTGGCAAGAAAAGGATAAGATTCATTAGTAAATTGTCATTTTAAGTTTAGGGTATTATGAGATGATTTTTATACAGAGACATTGTGAGTTCTTGTCAAGTTAATTAGCATATTTGTTGCCTTGTAGTTATTTATTTTTGTAAGAATATTTAAATTCAACTTTCACAGCACAAAATCAGGACTTTCTTATTACATATCTCTCTTACTATTCAAAAAAAATCATCAGTGAAACTAAGTGGTGAGATTAGGGGCAATATTTCTTTCCTTCTGAATCTAAGAATGTGTTCTCAAGTATATAAGAAATTTTTTCTCATCTCAGGAATTTACATACACAACAGAACTAGATCTACAAAGGCCATGAAGAATAAGCTCAGAAACAAAGCATGGCACTATACCTTAGTAGGAAATCATACTCTGAAACATTCCTGCTGCACGGGGGACGTGGTGTCAGCGTGCCGGCAGCTCCCAGCATGCGCTGGCAGAAAGGCTATTCCATAGGGGTAAGTTCAACCTGCAGCGCCTGAAACCGCACAGTGACCCACACAGTAATGAAGTCCTTGGCTAGCTCTTATCTACAGCGATTCTGTTTCCTTGCACACCAATTAGCCATTGTTGTTTTTTATTTTTTTAAATATCCACCACAAAAGCTCTCTTCAAACATATAAAAAAAAGCAAGCACCTGAATAAAAACATTTCCACCCTAGCTTAGAACTTCATTTCTGAACCGCTATGAATGACACGAAACAACATGAATACTTTTATATTCATTTTTGTCTATGTTCAATGTTAACCAGGTGTTTTAAAAATATCAATTTATAAGTTAGAGAAAGAAAAACAGAAGGAGAAATGAAGCCATGGTGCATTTCTGACGTGCAAACTAGATCGCTGCTTATGATGACATTGACCTGCTGGTGCCACATCTGCCAAGTGTGGAGCTGCTTGCTGGCATGGGGGACCCCGAGACCAGGCCTGCACCTCGCCCCTCCTCACGGCTTCCTCATGCTCCAGTGGCCATGAAAGAAACCATTTCTTTCTCCTTAGAACAGCTCCAGAGCCCCATTCTTTGGGCAGTGGCTGTCTGCGTTTTACTCAAACACCTCTACCCTGAACCAGGCCGCCAGGCCAACACCAACCATTCAATGTTCAGGGGAGCCAGAGAGTGCCCCTCAGCGGGCCTAGAGCAGGCAGGGGAAAGCAGTGCCCGCAGGCAGGGGGCTGGCTTCAGGGAAGGGATGCACAAGGGAGGATGCTGTGTCCATGCCAGGGCTGCCCTTGCTGCTTGGGACGGACCCCCTCCCCATCAAGCCCAGACACCCCCAAAGGCATTAGTGAGAAGGACAGAAGCTGGGAAAAATACACAACCGGAATGATTTGGTTTGTGCTCATTAAAAGACTCTGACACAAATCAGCCATTTCCTATTTAGGTTAGACTGACCTGTGTTTGATGGCAAACTACAACACCCCAAAGGAGAGAGAACAAAAGGGAATGCCTCGCCGCAGAAGTGGGGTGGGGTGGTGGAGGATGGGGTGGGGGTGGTGGGAGGGATATTGGGAACATTGGTGGAGGAGAATGGGCACTGGTGGAGGGATGGGTAAACGATTATTGTATGACTGAAACGCAAACATGAAAGTTCGTAAGTTTGTAACTGTACCTCACTAATAAAAAAATTTTTAAAAATAATAAAAAATAAATAAATCACCCTTGACCCCAGAGTATAGAGAGGAGAAGAAAACAAATAGAGTGAAGGGGAAGAAAGGAAAAGAAAGATCAGAAGCAACAGATTAGGGGGTCAAGGGGATTTGGGTATATTGGTAGTGTTTATAAATGATATAGAGAAATATCCAAACTAGAGAGTTGACAACACTGAAATCATGAGACTCGACATTAATACACACATTTAAAAGGTGCCGGGCTGGGGGTAGGGGGTGGGAGTAAGAGAGGGAACCTAGAAACACTGGTGGAGGGAAGTTTACACTGGACTGGTCATGGAACATTGTATGTCAACTACGTCAACAACCCAACTATGAATAACTTTGTGATTCATGGTGCTTTAATAAAATAAAATTTTAAAAAAATGGCCTATGTTCTAAATAAAAGGCATTATTACTATCTGATTGCATTTTGTAATCTCTGTAACTGTTTCATAAACATTTGATTCTCAGCTAAACACCTGGTAACTTATGCAAGGCAGTGAAGCACCATGGTTATATACTGCTTTGTATAAAAATCATGGAGATGAAATCCAAATTTGCCAAAATCTAGAGAGGTCAATGTTTCTTCTGGCAACTGTTCTATACAGTCTCAATAGAAAACAAAATTAAAATATTTAGACAAAGTAAATATTTTCATATTTATCACTGTCTTGTAGACCTATCAAAGAATACAGAAACACACATTTTGGAGCAAGCAACTGTTGAGTCAAATCTACATTTTGAATTTCTATTCTAAGGCAGACTATAACATTAATTCATAAATTATTCTTACTTTGTTATTATATTCAAATATTATCTCATTATGCACCTGTATTTCCACAGGCTCCATCTTTAATAGAGTCTTATGTAAAGTTAATAATATGCTACTTTTCTCTTTTCTTTTACTTGACAGTTCCTGGGGTTAATTGTGGATCTGCCCTCAGGAATTACTCTTGGTGGTGTTGGGGGGACTTACAGGATGCCGGGATCGAGCCTGGGTTGGCTGCATGAAAGGCAAGCACCCTCCCCACTTGACTACTGCTCCAGCCCCAAGAACGTTTTACTGAAGGGGAAAAAGAAAAAGCTGGAACTCTTCTAATCTGCTTTCTGTGAATAAATCCAGGTGCTTCCTACCGTTGTCTCCAGCAGCTCAGGCTAACATGAATCGTGACATGTTCAGGAGCAGCTGGGGACGCAAATAGTCTGCCATTTTTGCAGTCACTTTTATGGGTTTGCATGTTCTTCCTAACACTTCCCCACATCCAGGCCATCATACCCCATCTCTGAATCTAGTCTCCTAGTCCTGTCCAGCAGACCACCCCCAGCACATCTGCACTGACCTTGAAGCTGCACTGACCTTGAGCAGACAAAGGACTGGGATGCAGGACTTGTATGCAGGAGGCTGAGGTCTAAGCCCAGAAAAGCACAGTACCCTGAGCCCTCATTAATTATCAGATGTTATACATCAAATTTTGACAAGGCAACATTTATTAAGCATGAGAGCACTGTTGAATTATAGATTACAGATACGTAAATCTTTTATAGCATGTAATAATAAGACTGCAAATATGCTTGGAACACTTTGATAATGCAGCTTAAAAATAATGTGTATTTTCTTCAACACCTGGACAGAAATATTCATTTTTTTCTTACAAAGAGCTTGTGAATTTATGTGAATTTATATTAAAATAATCATTACTAAAAGTTTTCTGATTTGACTTTTCTACAGCATTTAATTCAAATAGACAAGATAATTACTATTTACCATTATACCCGAAAAGCAAAGTTTTCTATATCTTGAGAGATGAGGACTTTTAAAACTTAAATCCCTACAATTTATCAGTAAACACCTCATGGAAATGATAGGAATTTCTGTCTAACAGAGGCAATCTCCTGTCTCAGTCAGACTGCTAGCAGGCAGCTTGCTTCTAAGGAAGAGTGTGACACTAGTCACAAACCCAGAGTGCTTCTGCTTCATGGCGTATCATGAATTCGTAACTTAAGATTCTGAATAATAATCAGTATTAGTAATATACTATCTAATATGTCAGTCGCGCGACACATTATTAGACACTTCCTACTCATTTATGCGTCTCGGAGAGCCCGGCAAGCCATTCAGAGTATCCCACCCGCACAGACAGAGCCTGACAAGCTCCCCGTGGTGTATTCGACATGCCAAATACAGTAACGACAATAGGTCTCATTCACCTGACCCTGAAAAAGCCTCCAATTGTTGGTAAAAGACGAGTAAGAAGAGGTTGCTAAAAATCTCTGGGTTGAGAGGAATAGAGACGTTACTGGCGTTCGCTCGAGTAATTTGATGACCATCGGGATGACAGTGATACAGTGATACAGCAATACTAACTCATGAAGGCTTCTCAGGAGCCCTCCTGAACTGGAATTCACTCTACACAGGCCTAGCGTGCTGACGTTGGTTTGTCTGCGAGGTGGGTGTTGAATGTTCTTCCATCCCCGAGTCCAGTCTCTGCATACCTGGGAGGCAGCCCCCAGGGTACACCTGCACTGACCCTGAGGAAGTCCAGACCCAGGGGCTGGATGGACAGTCAAAGAGTGGGAACTAGGAGGCCTGTGTTTAAACCCAGCAATGCAGATGCCCTGGCCTCTTGGAGAGTGAACCCTGAAGACAGAGTTAAGAGGGGCCTGAACACACCATTGGGTGTGGCACCAAAACTCAAAATAAAAACATTAGATTTAGCCAAATTGAGGGAGGCAAACTACAGATTCAAATGGGGCCAGTCAGACTGCTCCCTAGAACTTGGAATTGGCATTAAGAGGCATCCAGTCAGCTTCCGCGAGTAATTGGAGTTGTAAGCATTTAGACATTAAAAACGTGGATTAAGAAAGTTAAGGTTAGAGGTTATAATCTTAATAGGAGTCACCTATAAACTCAGTGCTAATAAAATCAGAAGCAATCTCCTGAAAACTTCATAATAGATATCCTTCTGAAGCCACATAAATATTCTGGATCACTGCAGCACTTCTAAATTACTAATACAGCAAATTGAGAGGGCTGAATAGCAAAACCAGGCCTCACCTCAAGAAATCTAATTTTTGATTTTTTTCAGTGACTCAAGCTCTTTAAAGTTGCAGCTATCCACACTTTTCCATATCAGTAGCCTTGGATTTTTTTCAGTTCAAGTGAAAGTTTAAGTACAATATAGAGAAACCGCAGACAAATGTTAAGAGAAACCATACCAAGAAAAATTGAATTTTCTTGAAATTTTCTTACTAAGATCCTCTTCAGTCTTTACCAACACAAATTTAACTGGCAATGCACAAACATCCATTCCACATCCTAGTGCTCCAGTACTAGGTTAATACCTATCCCTGTGGCACTGATTTTTCTGTACCCACCTAATCACGAACATGGTAGCATTTTTAAAGTATCCTTAACAAAGTTAAAGTTTAATACCTACTGTTGATCAGTTCTTTGTGTTCAGCAAGGGATTTTGCAGGATCCAGCCAGTACTGTGTGGGGAAGAAAAGGATAATTAGAGAAATTAGATGTTATTCGTGTATTTGCAAAGTATAACCTTAACATATATCTAAGTAGTAAATATAGCATTTAATTTAAAGACACTGAAACACTGTTAAGACATTTTCATCATTAGACTTACTAAAAGAAAAGAAAAATGCCACTGTTCAGAGAGAGGAGGAGGAAAGAAGCAATAGCTGCTAGGTTTGGGGTTGAATTTTAATACTGATTCTGAGGACAATAATCCCAAGATTTATTTATTGATTTATTGATCAATCAATCAACAAACAAGATTCTGATCAATCTTGCAAAGATAACAATGACCAAAGAGAATGTTCCTCAAATTTCTTTCCAAAATTCCTCTCACAACCCCCCAACAGCCATGCAGCCCTTTATAAAGTTCTTGCTTTCTTCATCTCTGGTTCCTTTACAGGTATGGCTGCAAATAAATCCTCATTAGTTACACAGGAGAGGTGGCTCAGCCCAGAGACCAAGAATTAGAGCTCCAGAATAGATCCAACCAAATTCCATCTGGCTCCCTCCTTCCCCTCATCTCCATGCAATTGGTACCAAGGAAGCTCAGCACCACTGAACTTTCCTTAGGGGGTTATCTCACTGCATATATATAACTGTCCTCCCGTTGTTCATCGATTTGCTTGAGCAGGCCAAGTAACATCTCCATTTTGAGACTTGTTGTTACTGTGTTTGGCATATTGAATCCGTCACAGGTAGCTTGCCAGGCTTTGCCGTGCGGGCGAGATACTCTCGGTAGCTGGCCAGGCTCTCCGGGGTTACAGAGAAAATGTTAAAAGTCATTACATGCTAAGTCTTCAAAGGACCTCTGGCTCTAGGTAGGTCACACAGGTGAGGATGATTATGATTAAGATGTGAAGGTCATTCTTAATAACTGCTTTTAGCCAACACATGGTTCCTATTTATTCATATAAATTTTTTAAAATTTATTTTTTATTTTTTATTGAATCAACATGAAACAGTTACAAGCTTTCATGTTTGAGTTACAATCACACAATGATCAAACACCCATTCCTCCACCAGTGCACATTCCCCACCACCAATGTCCCCAGTGTAACCCCCCCCTTTCCCATCCTCCCCCTGCTTCCATGGCAGGCAATTTCCCCGATACTTTCTATTTTTGGGCATTATGGTTTGCAATACAGATACTGAGAGGCCATCATGTTGGACATTTATCTACCTTCAGCACACATCTTCCATCCCAACCGATCCCTCCAATCATCCTTTTCTTAGTGATCCCTTCTCTATTCCAGCTGCCTTCTCCCCCTGCTCATGAGGCAGGCTTCCAACTATGGAGCAATCTTCCTGGCCCCTGTGTCGTGTCTTATTCACATAAATTTTAAATGAACAGAATTTTAGAGGGAGATAGAGAATTTTTGAACTGAGATCAGCATTTCTTACCAATGAGCTAAACGGCTTCCAGGATATTCCAAGAGGGTGATAGGGGAAATCTCAGAAATGGAGGGGGTGAAGCTGGCACAGACCAGACTAGAGGGCCTACTGTAGAATGGGGGTACACAGGAGGAAACAGGGCTGGAGGGGGATGCAGCTGCTCCAGAGAAACGATTCCTCCTTCCCTTTACAGGGACCATATGGAATGCTGGGAGTCAAATCTGGTTGGCTGCGTGCAGGGCCAGCACCTTGCACACTGGACATCACAAACTTAGAGGAGTAGAATATCACTCAGTATCTCAAAGCTCTGAAAATTAGTCCGTTTCTTTGCTCCAGATTTCATAAGACTAAACTCAAGACACCAGCTTCTGGGGTCCTGGATATTTTTTAGCAAGGACAACTTACCCTGGGAGCACTTTCAGGACGGAGCCTGCAATTAGCCCATCCTGGAGCTCCAGTTTCCCTGAGAGCAAGACAGTAACAGATTAGGCTTTATTTCAGATTTTTCACTACATTAACACAAGAAGACTCCGGACAGATGTGGCCAAGAAGGAGCAAAGAAGCCCATGGTCTCACTTCTCTATGATCTCATCCTGATACCAGAAACACGTAGAAACTGAATGTGTCAATCTCACCTGACTTCATCATGCCATGAAAACAAGTTTTAGAAAAAGATTCCTCAAACCAGTGACTTTTTTCCTTACAGAATTTTTTTTAAATGTAGGAGTTTTGCTATTTATTCAGCCATTGATTAGACTGATTGAATTGAGCATGAACTCCACCTTACCTTTGTTTTCTTTTTCATAAATTAATTTATTGAATCACCATGAGAGCAGTTTCAAAGCTTTCGGGTTTAAGTCTCAGTCATACAATGATGAAACACCTGTCACTTCACCAGTGCCCATTTTCCATCACCAAAACCCCCAGTATATCCCCCATCCCATGCCCTCCCTGTACCTGTGGGACAGATAACTTCCACATTACTCTCTCTCTACTTTGATTACATTCAATATTTTGACAGCAGACCTACCATTATTATTTGAGATTTTACCCCAACATTCAGATCTGCCAAAAAGGCAACCATATACAATTTGTTTTCTATTGCTGATTATGAACAACATATGATGTCGCAAGGCCGCAGTAGTGGCTGCGCAATTTTGGAATTCTGAAATTTTAACAATTAAATCTGGAGGGATTTCTGCCAAAACTTGCGGGGATCCAAGATTTGTTCCTGAGTCTCTGGGATCATGGCCATTAAGCAGCTTGATCAGGAGCCAGATCAGGACCTTGATCAGGTTGTTCATGGGCGGCAACTTGGGACCTCATTGGGGTGGGAAGGAAAGGGCTGGCTCTATCCCCATCCTGTGAGGCTCTGCGTGTCTCAGCACTGTGGGCCCAAACCTGACTGTCAATGGCCTCTGGAGGATGGTGGCCACCAATCCGCCAAGAGGGAACAGACAGAGGGACAGCACCCTTTCCCCCCTCAGGTGGCCCGACACTGGTAACCTACTGCGGGTCTGGATGCATTTCTGCCAAAAGCCGCTGGGTTCCGAGATTTGTTTCTGAGTCTCTGGGATCATGGCTGTTAGGCAGCTTGATCAGGAACCAGAGAAGCCTTGCCTCCAATTATATAGCTGAGCCGGAGGTGGTTTGTGGGTGTGTCTCCCACATACCTAACTTTTGGCTGTTTACTTTCTTGGTAAACTTGGCCCCAAGTTGTTGGGATCTGGCCAAAGGCACAGCAGCAATTTTAGGGTATCTAGAAGTCTGAAGGCACCATCAGGCTGCTGATGCACTCACCTTAGAGGTACTGACTGACCTGCTGGCGGCACCATACCCCAGACTTACAGAAGGTTTTTAATTCATTTTGTAGAAAAAGCAAGGTAAAGAAAATATAAAGGGATTTTTTTGGGGGGGAAGGACAGCAAAAGTGAGTTCAAGACCTCACACATGCAAGCAAGTGCTCTCACTGACCCATACCCCAGTGCTCTCACTAACCCATATCTCCAGACCCAGGAAGAAAATTTTTAACTAAATTCAATAGAAAAGATAGGCAAACTTATTACAAAATTTCACATCATTGCTAATCTGCATAATTTTATAATAAATCTCTTTTCTTGGAAGCAGTCCATTATTTTAGATAAAAAGTCTAATAAAGGTTCTGAGATGAGTTAGGAATTACAATTTCAGAGCAAGAAGAGAGAGTCAAGACGCAAAGCACCACAATCAGCATATTAGATGTGTTGGCAGTCATCCAGCCAAGCACAAATCTCATCTGACCCAAATGGAAGCCAGGGGTTAAGAAATCCAACCATACGTGTCCCAGAACACAAGTAACCAGGAGAGACTAGATTATCTAAACTAGTATTTTAAAGTAAAAAAGCTACTTATTTAGCTTTTCAGAGTGAAGAGATGACCTGGGAACCAAGTTGATCGTCACGGATCATCGTCAATAAACAATCACACTTGGCATGTGTCTGATGGTGAAGCACTCCAGTCTCTTGCTGAACAACTAGACAAATAAAAACAAGAATCTGCCAAAAAACACAGAAAGAACCTCAGCTTTCAATCTTACATCCAGAATATTCTAGGATGTCACCCATTCATGAAACCTTTATGGAATAATCACTATAGAGGCCTGGTTCTGGCCTGAGGCATCTTTATACTGAAGGCGAAAATGAAGGGGGATAGCCCTGACCCTGAGGCCTGAGGCGCTCCCAGCACAGCTGGAGATACAGATACTAAACTGCCCCACCCTGTACTCAGGGAGCTAGTGTACATGCGTATGAAAAAGCAAAATCACATACAAAGTAAGCTACAGGGTAAGTGTTGGAAGCTTCACTAAAGAGAAAACCTCTGAACCCTCAGGAAACCTCCAAGAATACAGAAATGGACAACTGAGCCATTGATTTATTTTTACTGTTTTACTGTAAGGATGCTGTTTATCAGTTCAACCCCTCTTAAAGCAAATGGGCCCATCTCTAAGGTACAAAACAGAATGGAATACTCATCCTTGGGCATGCACTGAAATCATTGTCTGCCTGCTGCCAGGAGAAGTGGCCCATTCAACCTTCACTGCTTTGCCCAAGCGTGAAGGGGAAAGCCAAGGACTGACCCATTCCCGTGCTGCTGGCCAGGCCACTTCTCTGAGCCACTCTGCATTAAGTTGCTTGGCATAGCCCAGTGGCCACAAGGAGACCTGAGCCTCTCCTCAGGCCACTCTTCCCTTCTGCAAAGCTACAGCTCTGTTTGTGTATCCTCAGAGCCTGCTTAGACACCATCACAGCAAAGGAACTGAGGTTGGCTCCAGGCTCCCACAGCAGCTTCTGACGAGGGCAGACCTGGCGACTGAAACCTCGAGCTCATCTCAGGGAGACAGAACCACAGCCCTTCCCTGCTCTAGCCCTGGCCACGGTGCGGGATCTGGCCTTAGAGGTCCATTCTTTACTCGCATCAATCTCAGTGACAAAATTGATGTAACCCAGGGATAAATGGTAGATGATCTGAATTCCTCCTGACTCCCTAGGAGTCTTCAGCTAAATGCCCTGGGCAACTTTCATCTACTCTG